CTTGTAGGGGTTGACAGTGACGCAGAAGAGACCCGAGTAGGTCTGCCAGGAAGGGACACAGCACGTTGGCTTCCCCTGGGCCTGGCAGAGCAGTTCCTGCAGCTGCCCAAAGGAAGCTGCTGCTGCCACTTACGTAGATCATCCAGGCTGCGTAACGCTCTTTGAGGTTGTACAGCACAGCGGGTTCGTGGAGGTGGGTCATCATGGCCATGTCCTCGATTTTGTCGTACTTGGGAGGGTTCATGGAGTAGACTTGATCTTCCTTCACGGTCAGGGTCTGTCAGAGGAAGAAGGACATGCATGGGTGTCAGCTTCCCCAGAGTGGGAAGACAATGTTGTCCTTCAATCTTTTTTTATTTTTCACTCACCTCTCCCCCTTCAGTCTTGACAGTGACTTTCCCTGATTCCCTGCTCTGAATTGTCCCTTTCACAAAGGATTCTTTAGGATGAGCCACAAAGACGGATGACTTGGCATCAAAAGGCTTGTTCTGGGCCGCAATTCTCTCCTTCTCTGACTTTCGGAGGTAAGGAGCTGCCTCCCCAAAAACGGCCATCTCAGCATCTCCAGAGGCCATGGCTGCTCTGCTGAGGAAATGTCAGCAGATGACTCTGAGGAGAAACAATGTGGCACTGATTACTTACATTTTTCAAAATTTGGAAAAATGTTATATCCTGTGCCTTGGTTTCTCTTCATACTCTGGGTATTTTAACATGAGATAACTAGAAATTTAGTTTTATTTCAACTCAGAAAATAAGAGGCTTTCATGGGTGTAGTCTTCAAATACTCCTTAATGACCTTTTGCAGAACTGTGGATTTGGTGCTTTAAGAATACTGTGTCTGTAAGACAAGAGTGAATTTGTTGAGGAAGTTTCACTAAGACATCACTACTAGGTGAATTCATTAAAAGGATGAATAATGAAGTAAAACTACTGGAAAACCGTAGTGCAGGTGACCTACAATCTTGGAAAAGATTGAGTCTCTGGGACATTTACCTATTAAATGTAACGGTAATGCAAAGGTAGTGGGAAATTAATGAATGTTGCCAATGAAGGTGTCAACTGAAAAAGAAAAGAAGGGCAGGCTTTGTGACCTTTTAATATTCTGCTCCAATTTAATTTGCTGTAGGCGTTTGTTGTCCCTCACTACAATACCTAAATATTTTCAGCCCCAATATTTTCTGACTTGTGTGAAAGAAAATTCAAGTATTGAAATTGGAATTGCCAAGGTTGTTTTAAGATACCAAATAAATACTTACTGAAAAAAATCCAGGAGCAGATGAGTTCTCAAATGTTAGAAAGAATAAAAAGGTTATTTTTTCAGATGATGTATTAAACATGTAAGTACCTAAATTTAGCCAACTGCATTTGAAAATTATCTAGCTACATTTGCAAAATTTATTCACTTTTTATTCATTAGGTAATAAATACTTTTTTTGTCTGGAGTAAGAAAATGGGTAAGAGAGTACTGGCACTTTGCAAAGGTGGTTAGAAGGTCTGTTTGCTCAGATGATTTAGTAATTAATATATTCTTGTGTAGAATACAGGATTTTGCACTTTTTCCTGCTGTACTTATCTGGTCCCATTCTCCTGATGCCATAGCAAAGATGGGAAAGCAGCACACCTTGATTTCTGTAAGGTCAGTTAAGCAGAAGTGAAGAATGTCCCTGTGAGGGTTTTCTGTTCTGTCATCAGTATTCAGAGGCTTCAAATGCAGCCTTGGACACCCCTCTTTCTACTGCAATCCCACCAGGTTTGCACATTGGGTGAACCAGTGAGCCTGCCAGAAACCCCACCCAAAGGGATCTGTGTCTGCCCTCTAAGAATCAGTAAATCAGGTTCTTACCTCCTGTGACACCAGATGGGTGACCTGCAGGCTGGCAGCTGGTCAGTGCTGTAAAACAGAAATGGCAGTTCCCTCATTGCTGTGCACAGAAATCCAGAGGGAAAACGTGCAGATGCCTTGAGAGCAGGTTTGTAATGGAGTTTCCTCCTGGACACGAGCACTGGAGGCAGCAGGAATGTTGTGGCACACAAGGGCACCATCCCTTCCTGCCAGCCTGTAGATCCCCCTCACTTACCTTGGAGCTTTCCCTGGAGCCAGGGCAGACGTGTGGCGGGGACGTTTTATACGATCTCCTCTGCAGATGCTACAGATGCCTCCTCTTTCTTCGGTCAAAACATTTTTGGCAAACCTTCTTTGGTAAAGCATTGTCTGGCAAACTGAACTAAGGGCATAATTGTCATTTGACATGACTAGATATAATTAGAAAATTTTGATGTCTTACTGGCTATATGAATACAGCTCCTATAAACAATCTCACAAGGGTGTTAAGGAGGGAATCTGGACTAGTCAAAGCACTTAGAGAACTTGGATTCAGGACTTATGGATTCTATTGCTGGCTTTCCCACCGACTCACTGCAGAACCCAGGATGGATTGCTTGGTATGTCTGTCCCAGCTATCCCAGCTGTGCAATAGATAAAACAGGATGTTAGAAGATAAATTAGCATTATTAAAAACCTTTGGCGTTTTTGTTGGTAAAATCCTGAAAGCATAAGTACAGATATAGAAGATCTGAGCAGGATAACAGGCACAGCAGGATGGTCAGCCAAACACTGCAGCAAGGAGAGGCTGGGTCCTACTTGGGCTTTTAAGCTGATGCCTTTGACAGACGTGTGAGGTAGCTTTGGGGATATCAGGAAGAGTGTGCATACACACAGATACACAGGCATGTACATGTGTGCCCCTTTGCACACACTTCAGATTGCAAATAAGTAGAAGATTCTCCAAGAAATATTATTGTGAACCTTGTGAGGGATTATATCTGCTGAGACTTCTGATCTGCAGGTTAATGCCAGTGAGCAAGGGACACTCCCTGCTTTTGCTGACAACTTATTAGTTCATCCAGATATTCCCATGCCTGTAAACCTAGGAAAGGTAACTCTGATTCGGAATACCTTCCACAGGTTTTTTCCCTGCCTACAAGGCCTACAACTGATAGAAAAATCCTCTATTCAGTCATGCCTATACAAATAATTGGACATATGCACAAACACATCATGCAGTCCCAGGTGCTCTCCACGTAATATATCCCCAGCCCAGCTCTTCCATTTCATCACAAATATCTTGCACACTTAGACATTTGAACAGTCCGAAACACCACATTGATATCCTTAACAGACCACTGGGGGTGACAGACATGCCTGTACAATGCTGATGGATGTTGGGGGGAAGTGGATTTGCTGGTAGTGCTGGAGAGACACTGGTCTAGTTTCAGGAATAGGGCACAGTCATGTAAGCTGTTTTAAATCCTGTCACATTTAGGCTGAGGTACTTAATGCCTTCTTTGCCTTAGACATCAACAAAAAGAGCCATTTTCCTCAAGGCAACCAGCCCCCTGAGCTCTTAGACAGGGATAGGGAGCAGAATGGACTCCCTGTGACCCAGGAGCAATTAATGACCTGCTGAGCCACTTAGACAAGTCCACAGAACCAGATGAGATTCACCCAAGGGCACTGAGGGAGGTGGTGGAAGAGCTTGCCCAGCCACTCTCCATCATTTATCATCAGTCCTGGCTCACCAGGGAGGTCCCAGATGACTGGAGGTGCCAATGTGACACCCATCCACGAGAAGTGTTGGAAGGAGGATCTGGGGAACTCCAGGCCTCTCAGCCTGACCAGTGCAGGCAAAGATTGTGATCACACAGCATGTACAGGACCACTATGGGACCAGGCCCAGCCAGCACAGGTTTAGGAAAGGCAGATCCTGCCTGACCAACCTTCTACGACCAGGTGACCTGCTGGGTGGGTGTGGATGTATCTTCCTAGACTTCAGTACTTTGACACCGTGTCCCCCAGCAATCATCTGGAGAAGGTGACAGCCATGGCTTGGGCAGGGCAATTTTCCCTGGGTTAAAAACATGCTGATGGCCAGGCCCAGGGAGTGGTGAATGGAGTTATACCCATCTGGGGCCAGTCCAGTGGGGTTCCCCAGGGCTTACTATTTGACCAGTCCTGTTTAGTATCTTTACCAATGATCTGGATAAAAGTGGATCAAGGGCACCCTCAGCAAGTTTTCTGACGACACCAAGCCAGGTGGGAGTGCTGATCTGCTGGAGGGCAGGAAGGCTCCTGCAGAGGGGTCTGGACAGCCTGGATCAAAGGGTCAAGATCAGCGGGGTGAAGTTCAATAAAGTCAAGTGTCAGGTCCTGCAATTCAGCCACAATTACCCCTCACAGAGCTCCAGGCTGGGAAAGAGAGTCTGGAAAGCTGCTCGCAGGAAAGGACCTGGGAGTGCTGCTCAACAGCCACTGAACAAAAGCCAGCAGGTGCCAGGTGGGCAAGAAGGCCAATGTCATCCTGGCCTGTATCAGAAATACTGTGGCCAGTATTTCTGGAGCAGGGAAGTGACAGTGCTGGGCCCTGGTGAGGCCACAGCTCAATGCTGCATCCATTTCTGGGCCCCTCACGGCAAGAAAGACATTGAGGGGCTGGAGGATGTCCAGGGAAGGAAACAGAGCTGGAGAAGGGTTTGGATCAGCTGGAGCAGCTGAGGGAGCTGGGGGACTCAGTCTGGAGAAAAGGAGGCTCAGGGGGAATCCTCTCACTCTCGGCAACTCCCTGACAGGAGATTAGGGCCAGGTAGGGGTCAGGCTCTGCTCCCAAGGAATGAGGGACAAGACAAGAGGAAATGGCCCCCAGGCTGTGTCATTTAAGTTTTGGGAAGGTTTAGGTTGGACATCAGGAAGAATTTCTCCACTGAAAGGGCTGTCAGGCCTTGGAAGGGGCTGTCCAGATAGGTGGTGGAGTTCCCATCCCTGGAGGTGTTCAAGAAACACTGGATGTGGCACTCAGTGCTCTGGTCTAGTTGACAAGATAGGGATTGGTCACAGGTTGGACTTGATGATCTTGAAGGTCTTTTCCAACATAAAAAATTCTATGACTCTATTATTTTATATGGACAGTCCAACTGAGAGTGCTGGGCTAGATCATCTTACTTTGGGGACTGAAAATCGTTGCCTTTCCAGTGGCTGATGACAAAGCTGTGTACTCAGAGAGCACTTCTGGGTTTTGCTGTGGTGCTGTGCAGGATGTGGACCCATCCTTGTCACAGGAGTGCAGCACATGGCCAGGCAGCTCTGGTCTGAGGGAAGGTCTGGTTTGAATGCGAAGCGCTCAGTGAGTTGAGGTGTCTTCAGATGTTGACAATCACTCAGCAGTTCTTTGAATTTAGTGCCAGTAAGTCCCCATAAGTCAGCATTTGAAACATAAAGTCTTTTTTTGAAAATGGGCCAAATCTCAGGAAAGGGTTATGAAACAGGACATGACAATGAAGGAGATGCTTTAATCAAGATGGCTTTTGAATATCTCCAAAGATGGAGATTTCACAACAGCTCTAAACCTGTGCCAGGGCTCAGTCACCTACACAGGAAAAGTGTTTCCCAGTTTTCGTAGGGAACCTCCTGTGTGTCAGATGGGGCCCATTGCTTCTTGTCTTGTCACTGAGCACCACTGAAAAGAGCCTTATTCCATCCTCTGTGCACTTTCTCCTCAGGTATTTATGTTCATGGATGAGATTCACCTGAGCCTTCTCTTCTCCAGGCTGAACAGTCTCAGCTCTCTCAGCCTTTCCTTAAGAGAGAGATGCTCCAGTCACTCATTCATCTTGCTGGCCCTTTGCTAGACTCTCTCCAGTAGCCCTGTATCTCTCTTATACTGGGGAGCCCAGCCCTGGACATAGCACTCCAGGTGTGGCCTCAGTGCTGATCAAGGGCAAGGATCACCTCCCTCTATCTGCTGGCAACACTCCTGATGAGGCTAGAACACTGTTCACCTTCTTCAGGTGACATGAAGGACGTGAACATGGTTTATGTTCAACTTCATGTCCCACAGGACCTCCAAGTCCTTTTCTGCAAAGCTGCTTTCCAGCTGGTCAGCACCCAGCACATGCTGGTGCCTGCGGCTGTTCCTCTCCAGATTCAGGGCTTTGCACTTGTTTTGCATTATTGGAGCCCAGACTGACCTCAGGCCTCACCAGTCCTCAGCTGCACACTATCCTTAACAGGGAAAACAGTATTAAATGGCCCTCAGCTATTGTAGAATCACAAAGACTCAAATCTTTACTGCTGTGTTTACCTGTCTTGCTAACTGAGTTAACTAAATCACGTGTGGGTTTCCAGCTAAAGACTCTTTGTGACATTAAAGTAAAGCAACTAAAGTGCACAGGTGCCTCTCCATTCCCCAGTAACTCCACACTTTGCGTACAAACAGGATGAGGTGCCTGTACATTCAATAGAATATCCATGGAGACAAGAATATATATGATGTTTTAGAGACCAAACCATTTGCCACCTACTTAAGAGACTTGGCCTTCACTGTCTCAAATATTGGACTATCCAGTGGCAGGAAGCCAGTCTCTGATCCTTGGAGAAGAATCTGGATGTAAGGACTACAACCCAGCAGGACCCAGTTCTAACAGTGGCTCTGGCCCACTGACTGAAGCTGTTCTCAATATCGTGCCACAACAGCTATGTGGAAATAGGCAGCCTGAGGGCTTGTGATCCTGTTCAGTAGGAGGACCATTATCTCAAGGGAGTGAATCTGGCAGCTCTCCTATCATCAGAAAGAATCAGCACAACTTGGCACAAAGAAATGACAGCTGTAAACCTAATCCACTGAAATGGAAGGAACAGGTTCCCTGTCCCCAGAGTCAACAGGGAAGAAACTCTCTGCCAATCTGTTCTGCCTGGTCCCATCTAACCCTGTATCAAATGTGGCAGGAGGTTCTACTTTGGCCAAGGGTTTCTGTGGGCATGTGCAAATAGTGTGACTATGTATGCTGGCTGAAATTCAGAGGCTATTGTTACTGTGGATCCCTGACTGAAATTCCTGTGCCCATCACAGGTATTGACTTATGTCTCCATTAGTATCCCTGTAGGAGTACCTCAGGACCAGTATAAACCCCAGCATTAACGGAATATGATTATAGGAATGTTGGCTTTGCTTGGTGTCTTGGAGTGAAATCCCTGCAAGGAGCTTGGTATTAATCATTTGAGGATTGAAGGATTACTGAAATTTAGCAAAATTCTCCAGAATGGTGCATGTGGAAATGTAGCTGTAGCAAAGAATAATTTGCATACCAAGTTCAGCTAAAATTACATGCTTTACATTAAATAGCACTGCCTCCCCCACCAGCAACATTGCTAGATGACATCAAGTGTGTTGCTCCCCTGTCTGTCAGTTGCACTTCAATGCAAAACCAATCCTGGTGCCAGAGACCAGCTGGGATGGTGGGGCCTGACTGAATTCAGTGTTAAAATTCAGTGTTAAATAGTCCAGTGCCATTCAAATTGAATAGCAAGGCTATTCTAGCAACTCCTCTGGAAGAAACAGCATTAGACAATCTTTCAGACAGTCATAAAAAGAAGAGAAAATGTTAAAACATTGACTACTTTCACTTGAAAGCTCTAAATTCAGATGCCATTTTCTTTTTTCCTCATTGGCATTAACTAAATAAAACACAGAAAACAAGAACTTTTCTTTCAGTGTTTTCAGTTGATGTTTTAAAATATCTGTTTGAAGGAAATCAGAGCTAAAGCAATGGCAGATGTAAGAGCATGTGTTGTGAACACAGATAGTACATGAACTCTCAGTGAATGTTTAGACAGGAAAGACACAGGAATAAGTTTGTGGAGGCTGAAAGAGGAGGCAGAAGAAAGTGCAAAAAAGGTTGGGCAAATGACCCAGCATTCAGCATTGTAGTGTAGGGCATAAAGTAGGACATAAAGCTCACTAAAAGTGAAGTGTTTGGTCAGCTGTCATGATCAACTCTGGAGAGCAGTCTAAGCTCCTGAGCATCTGCCTTGGATTTGGTTTAATTTACACAGCTCCCCTCTCTCACTCAGGTATCATTTATATGACACTGGGATAGTGATTTTTACAAAAAAGGAATCTCTAATCTGAAATGGATGATCCAGATTTCACTATGGTTTAACTCTATAGATCCCAAAAGTTACATCAGGGAAAACTTTGCCATGTTTCTTATATCCAGGCACATCAGGGAGAAATCTGTCCAGGGAGGAATCTGTTGAAAGAAGTGCAAGTGCCTCAATGCAAAAAAAGAATGCAATGTTTCCTTGGGGGCCATTAATTTTCTGTCAATCCTATTTCCATCTCTACAGGCCTTGACTTCACTGGGACCAGAAGCAAACCACGGCACAGATAAAAGGGAAGCAGCAGGATGAAACCCATCTCTGGATACAGACCGTCCTGCACAGCAATGTGGTGTCAGCAGGGCACACATTCCCCTGGAGGACAAAGTCATGCTGAAAATAGATCCTTCTTGAGACAATTATCAGGCAGCTGCTCCCTCTCTGCCAGCCCTGGGGATGTGAGTTTTCTTCTTCCCATCCCAGTTGTTGGCTGAGAGACGGGCAGGGAGAAGGCACTTTTAGGTAGGCAGCAGCCAGGCTGGACAGGGGGAGGGAAGTACCTGCAGATGCTGTGTGTTGTCTGGTGGGAACCTCCCTCTCCTGCCTGTTCAGAGTCATCAAGCTCATGAACTGGAAACACAAGAATATGCCTGTATGGCAAGAGGTTTTGCAGTCGGAAAAGGAATCTTTTCTTGCTGATCCAAAATCTTTAATCATGGGAGCTACTCTCAAGCCCTCTGCTTTGTGCTCCCCTAACTAGGACAGAGGGCCCTCCAAGAGGAAGGATGTTGGTGGATATGAATATGAGTGCTCTCACTGCAAACAGTCACAGAATATTCTGAGTGGGAAGTTCTTAAGTGAATAGCCCATACAGAGATCAAATACAACCTTGGTATTATTACCACCATGTTCTAGCCAAAACCTGGGAGAACCAAGTACTGTGTCGTGCCTGAAGTGTGGCCAGTGGATTGTAGGAAGCTATCATCCCCTCTGTTTGACTCTGCTGAGTACTCTTATGAAATGATTTGTCCAGTTTTAGGTTCCCCATTTGCAAAGGGAGGTGAACTAAAAGGAGAGTCGAGCAGGTGGCTGGCAAGATGAGCAAGGGTCTGGAAAACTTGTACTGTGAAGAGAGTGTGGTTAGTATGAGGGGAAAAAGGGTAATGTACATGAGGGGCAACTACAAAGACAGCGTGCCAAGCTTTTTCATGAGCAGCAGACAATTTAACAAGGGGCAATAACCACAAATTGTTGCTTGAAAATCTCCACTTAGACACTTGGAAGATTCTCACACATTAGGAAAATTCTCACTTAGACAATAGGAAAACTCTTGACTATTGAGCAACGGAGAAATGGCACAGGTTACCCACAGAGCTTGTGGAGCCTCCATCTGAAAAGCTTGGCTCGCCAAAGCTGTGACTAATTGGACCAACACCTGCAATAGATGTGCTTGAAGTGGGAGACTGAACAAAAGACCTCCAGATGGTCTGTCACAACAGAAGCTCTGTGGCTTTAATGTAGAGGTTTCCTCATCCATCCAAAGCAGTGGACAACTGGGCATGTCTTTGATTCCGCTGCTTTGTTGGAGACAGTTAATTTCATGCAACTTGCCAAAGCAAATCCCTCCAGACCACCAGTCCTATAATACTGCTTCTTAAGTGCATCATCTGGAAACATCCTCAGCAGCTGGAGGCTTTATTTGCTTTCAGTCCTTGAAGAGCAGCATGACATGCAGGCAGAGTCAGAGAGCTGTGGAGCTCCCTGGGGCAGAAAATGCATCCCAGCACATCAAGAGTTCCACCACATGAAGAGCAGCAGGGCAGGCAGAGAATAGGAGTGTTCTCTTGCTACCACAGGCTGGACACATTCACAGTGGTAATTGCTGATAAGCATTTCCCCAGCCCACCACAGGGCTTTAGGGATCTGGTACAAACATTTTTTTCATTCTAAGTCACCAGGTACCATTTGTCAGAAAATATGGGTATGATACAGTGAGCAGCAGCTAACATACCCTCTGTGGGGTATTTCTGACCATAACATAATATTGAAGGAAGTAAGATTACAAGATGTCCCTGCCCATGTCAGGGGGATTGGACTAGATGGGCTTTAAAGGTCCCTTCAACCCAAACCCTTCTGTGATCTGTGTGATCCTGTGAATGGCAGACTCTTACACCCAAGACATTTGTCATCATCCCAATCTCCCCAGACACCCACCCTCTGCATGATGCTCCACACAGGTGGTGAAGCCTTCTAGAGCACAAACCATCTCAAGCTGGTGAAAAATGTCATGTGACTGGACTAAAACCCAAATAATTTACACACAGGAAATTTTAACAAAAAGAATGTATTCTCTCAATGAGAGACAGAAGCACAAGCACATTCCTACTATCTCTATATGAAGCCTAAGCCTTTTGCCTTCTCAGGTCTCAGTCATCTACTTATCCCCCCCACGTGGACCCTGTAATGCTCATGGGATACAGCAGACACCCCCTTCAACAGGGATCCCCTTGCACACCCCGCTAGTGAGCCCTGGGGGGCTGGAGAGAGCTCAGAGCTGCTCAGTTCTGCTCCAGCAGGAAACCTCCTGCTGTGGGTCGATGTTCTGGAGAGCTGGCTCAGGTGCCCACACAGACTGCAGTGTCTCCTGTGCCTGGGGCCACTTCAGCTCCTCCTCAGGTGATTGGGGTCCCTAATGGCCTGACCAGGAACTGAGAGGCGCTCAGAGCCACGGCAGGCACCAGGAATGTCTGCATGGATGTGCTGCTCCTCTGAGCACACATTACAGCTCAGGTGAAAGGAGGTCAGCCCTGCATGTGGTAGGTCCCTACTGGTGAATACTCCGCCCTACTTCAACTCAATCAGCGTGCTCAGTGACTGCTCCTCATTAACCACAGTAGATATTCCATAACATGGAATTTATATACATCTGTTCATTGTTTACAGACACGTCAATGCTTGATGTGTTATCAGCTGTCTCTTAATGCTGTCACACAGGAGACAGACTTGGTGACAAACAGCTGTGCTTGGACACCTTTCTGAAGGTGGGTTCCTCCCATTTATAGCGACTGAGTATGACCCAGTGTTGAGAAACTCAAAGATTTTTGTTCATTTGCTGCACCTGTTATTTTCAGAGGAATTAGCATATATTCCCTCCAAATCTCCAGAGGAAGAACATTCTGCCTCGTCACTAGTATGAAAGAAATGGTTTGTACAGCAAACCACAAACACCGGTTTTGCTCTCTTTGCCAAAATACAGGTGGGTGTTATAGCACTGGGATGCTTCCTAATTAAAGACACTGTGATGCTGCTTCTCCCTTGCACTGCTCTCTGTTATCAGAAGATAGAAGATAGGGGTGAAGAAAGATGTGAAGAAAGGGTTTTTTCAGGAGTTTTGATCCAAGCATTGGGACCAGCCTGTTCACAGAGAGAGAGGTGGAAAGTGGCTGAACTTGAACAGGTAAGTGTAGGAAGATCACTGACTTTCCAGGCTTGCAGCTGGTGGGATAGATGGGGAAAAGCTGTGGCTGTGGTTTCTGGGAGCAGCTATTTAGCACTGCCCACTGCTTGGATGCCTTCCCACAACAGGGATCCTGCCTTGCAGAACACGGGCACAGGCAAAGCCATTTTGCTGTGGCCATTATGTGATTATTATCTCCTGCTCACTAGATGCTTGGTGAAAATCCCATTTCACTTTGCCTGTACTGTTTATAATATTATGTAAGAATACCATCTCCCCACCTGGTTGTTCTTTTCCCAGCTTGACTGCCCAGCGCTCCCATCAACTTTGTCTTTACTCTCTGTACCCTTCCTAACTGCACAGGCCAAATCTGCAGGCAGCAGGTGGTCTGTGGGCCTGGTACAATGATTTTTGGTTTGTTCTCAGTTTGTCCTGATAATTCCTGATACTCCTCTTGCCTTCTGTGGTCACCAGTGAGCACTGACCTGACATTTGGAGCAACTATTCACTATTCTTGTAGCCTTCCTATCTCCTAATCCTGGTCCTCCTTTCAGAGACTGTGGACAGAGAAGCTGAAGTTCTGTTTCAACTGCAAAAAGGGTATTTCTGACTGATGATTATACAGTCTGCCTCACAAGGACAACATCTTTCTCAGTGCCTTTCACCAAAATGATAGTGAATGAGACTCTAGAGTAGCACAACCCATGTAACACAGCAGTGGGGAGAGGTAAAGCAGCAAACTTTTATTTGGGTGAGAACTCTTCACTGAGTGTCAGAGTCATGCTGTTACTCAGACTGCTCATGTTCCCTGTAAACACCAGCAGAAGAGCTGGCCAAGGAGGTGACATTCAGGATGCCCTTTCTTGTCACCCACCAAAGCAGCTGAGGAGCTCCTGTTACAGAGCAGGGGAGTGGGGTGGGCAGGCTAAGACGCCTCTGGGTAAGATAAAGAAAAAAGAGAGCAAGTGGCGAAAGGGGGAGGGAAGGAAAATCAGGATTAAGTGCATAATATTAGCACTAGCAGCAACTGTATCCTAAAAAAGACAGTGATGAGGTGATATCTTCCTCTGCTGGCACTCATCTGTGACAGATGCACAAATCCCACTTCTGGGCAAATTTCAGTGCTGTAAATGGAAATATATTGGTATGGAATTTCTATAAATCTGATAACTTTTAAAATTAGACTTTTCAAGATTAAGACAGCCCAGTGGATTTTCTGAGTGATGGAGTCACTGCAGTGAAGTTTCCAACAGGATACATAGCAGCATCTTCTAGTGACATTTTCTGAACTGACTTTTTATGTTGCAGAAAAGTTCCTTTGGCATCCTTAGGAAATTTATCAACAGTCTCACTATTTTATGTCGGCAAACAGATTCCCTTGGGGGCGAGGCTAAACATTTTCTTAATTGCTGTCTGCAGCCATCTGAGATGCCAGGGAAAGGATACAAGTCCCTGCTGCTCCTGAAGGGCAAATCATTGTGCAAAGCAGAACAGCCCCAGCAGAAGACAATTATAACAATGTGACACCAGACAGCCCACAAAACTGGTGTGTTTGACATCTCAATCAGAACTGTGGCCTGAGAAAATACATGTTAAATCTTCCACAGCTCAAGATGTTGTGCCAACTTCAGCACTGCTTTGCTGAGAAACACAGGTGTATATTGTCTTCCAGATCAGTCCCTCAGGTCCCCCGAGTGCCTGCTGCTCCCTGACCAATGTCTTCAGGTGAACAGTACCTGTCATGGTGCCTCAGAGGGTCTCTCCACAGCCTCGTGACATGACTCCCTACTGCTTTTGCCTTTCACATTGGGTAACTTTGGGCATTCTCTGTCTGGGCTCTGATCCCAAAGTTTTCATATGTGCTGGCCTCTGTTTCCCCAGCAGTCCTGTGGTGGCATCAGGGCTGTGCTGCTGGCACTGGGGGGAGGGTGATGGGGTTGTGGGGCCAGTAAGATCACAGCTGTGACACCCTAACAGCCAGGACCACATGGTCCTAGGACAAGGGGGAATTGCTTCAAACTGAAAGACGATAGATTTAGATTAGATCTGAGAATCATAGAATCAGATGGGTTGGAAAGGACCTCTGAGATGATCAAGTCCAACCCTTGATCCAACACCACTGCAGTTACTAGACCATGGCACTGATGCCACATCCAGTGAGAATCCACCACCTCCCTGGGCAGCCCATTCCAGTGTCTGATCACTCTCTCTGTAAAGAATTTCTTCCTAGTATCCAACCAAAACTTCCCCTGGCAGAGCTTGAGGCTGAGCCCTCTTGTCTTACTGAGAGCTGCCTGGGAGAAGAGACTAACCCCACCTGGCTATAACCTCCTGTCAGGGAGTTGTAGAGAGTGATGAGGTCTCTCCCCTGAGCCTTCTCTTCTCCAGACTAAACAACCCCAGCTCCCTCAGCCTCTCCTCATAGGACTTGTGTTCAAGTCCCTTCACCAGCCTCGTTGCTCTTTTCTGGACCTGCTAAAGCACCTCAATATCCTTCTTGCAAAGAAACTCCTCTCTGTGAGGCCCTGGCACAGGTTGCCCAGAGAAGCTGTGGCTGCCCCTGGGTCCCTGGAAGTGTCCAAGGCCAGGTTGGACAGGGCTTGGAGCAACCTGGGCTGGTGGAAGGTGTCCCTGTCCATGGCAGGGGGCTGGAACTGAATGACTTTTAAGGTCCCTTCCAAATCAAACCATTGTAGATTCTATGATTCCTCCTCTCCTGGGGCTCCTGACATGAGTTTACAGTGTGAACTGATAAATTTTCCTTTACCAACAAAGAGTTTCTGAAGAGGGATGTTTTCAATCATTTTCTCCACTACAACTGGAACGCTGCATTTAAGCTCTCTGGCTGTCCACGTGAGACAGCAGCTCTATATGAGCCAATTAGCTGCATCTATTTAAAACATTTTTTCAGAGATGATCATTTATAGCCACTCTGGACTAAAGTTTTTCTCAAGACCTTTGCACAAGCCCTTATCAGGTGACAGGCAGCCTCGCTCCACAGAGCGTCAATGCAAAATGATCCTCATTCCCCATAAAGCAGTGAGGAATTCATCTTCCTTAAATCAGTGTCCCTCTTTGATCCTCATAA